TAGAAAACCTAAAACAATAGAGCGCCACCCGCACTCGTGACCCTCCAGAGCCACCTCGGAGAGCAGAGACAGGTGAGCCTTCCCAGAAGAAAGCCACAGCACCAGGAAGGAACAAGGACTGATCAGGAGGGGACTCTTAGGAAGCTGAACTTTTGAAAACTCAGTTGTGAGGTTTGGATGGTCAAGCAGAGGAGGTATCCTGGGAAGAAGAAGAAGAAAAATTTTTACAAAATGATGGTAAATAGGAGCAAAAAATAGAAGAAAATTAGAAGATCTCCAGGGCGCCTGGGTGGCTCAGTCAGGTAAGCATCCGACTCTTGATTTTGGCTCAGGTCGTGATCTCATGATTTGAGGGGGGTTCAAGCCCCATGTTGGGCTCCATGCTGACAGCTCAGAGCCTGCTTGGAATTCTTTCTCTCAGCCCCTCCCCTGCTCACTCCATCTCTCAAAATAAATAAACTTAAGCAAAAAAAGGAAGATCTCAGAGTTCTAGAAAGAGAACAGAGTGTGGAAGAGAGAAGGTTGTGGAAACCAGGCTGTCTGGAGCTAGAGAGCCGCTGACTGATGCGATGAACAAGCAGGCTGGAGCCCCTGTGAGGCCTCAGCAGAGAAGGAGAAGGCCTCAGTCTCCAGCGGCAAAACGGCCATGTTCAAAGGCGAGGGAGCAGGGAACTCCGCGTTCTCACCGCGCTGTTGCACTTCTGGGGCAAATGCTCTCTGGCCTGGATTCTGTGCGCAGCCATGCTTCGGGTCATGAGCAAGGTGGACGCGGATGCTTGTCCTGCTCGGTCCCCCACTCAGGCAGCAGCTGCTTTGTGGGAGGACCCCAACAAGGGCACGCGGGTAAGGGCAAGGTGCATCCGGCCCGAGGAGACACAGGACGGCTGTGCAGAGCGGAGGGGCTGGCGGAATCAGCACAATGGAGAGCGGAGAGCGTCCCCAAGGGCTTGCTGCCGAGCCTGGGAAGAATGGCTAATGGCTGCATTGAAAAAGAAGCAAGCAAAGGAAGGCAGTGATTTACTCTGGGAAGATCAAAGTCTTGTGTAAGAAAGTTAAGTGTAATCGCTGTGCGCTGAGTTCACTCAGTTAAACTGCAGGTGAGACCAGAAATCGTGCTGAAGCTACATGGAAGGACGGAAGCTTGTTGTGAGTGAACTTGGCCAGGTCCTGTCTTTGTTAGTTGAAAATCAGACCCTGGAAGGCACACAGATCGTGAGAGAACTATCTAAGCACATTAGACATTTGAGGGTAAGAGAAGAACCAACCGAGGGTTTGCTCGGAGTGGGGTTGGGGCGGGGAGGCTGGGATTTTCCAGAACCAGTATGCATCTGACCTTAGGAAATGGTAAAAGCGAAGATAAAAGAAAGCCATGGTGGTTTGGGGCCCCGTCCCGATTGGCTCTCACCCTAGAGTGCTGGTTCCTTCTGTCCTCAGAGTTTGGGTGGGGATTTTGATAGGCCCCACCCCCTGCATTGTGCCAGTGGGCCCTCAACCCTGGGGAGTTCGCCCAGAATGCCAGCGGCGTCCTCAGGGTCTGGTCCCAGAGGCCCGGCGTCAGAACGCACCGCCCTGGGAGCCGTGAGGCGGCTGGGATCAGCAGAAGCGCTTCTGGAAAGGTTCGCATCCAGCTGACTTGAAAATGGAGCCGTGGGAAAGCGCGTGGCGTGCGTTACCCCCCAGGAAGGCCGCGCTGCCCGGCCGGCCCTCCCCGGTGTGCGGCTGCAAGCCTGGCTCCCCTCTGGCTCCCCTTGGATTTGCTGGCCGTCAGCTGCTCCTGCTGCAGGGCTCCTCCCGTGCTCGCCTCCCCCACAGGCCCCAGACCACGAGGATGGGGGTGCTGAGGTCTCCCCCCACCCCCAAATCCGCACTGATCCATCCTGGCCCGAGCGGAGCAGCGCCTCCGCCCCGGGTCCCTGCAGGCCACAGGCTGGGCTTCAGCAGGGCCGGCTTCTCTGCCCCCATGCCGGCTGGGTGTGCTTGGAGGTGATGGGGGCCGGTGGGGGCTCGCACCCCTTCCCGGCTCAGTGACCTTGGACTAGTAGCCTCAACTCTGAGAGTCTGTGGCCTTGTTGGTGCAGGAGTCAGCTGTAGTTGTGGCCCAGGGCGTGGCTTTGACAAGAGGGGCCTGACAGTGTGTGTCCCTTGTTGGGATGAGGGTGGCCGGGGTCGGCAGGAGGCTGTGCCGCGTCCTCGCGCGTGAGCGGCCCTGGTGAGCACAGCCAGGAGCGCGGAGACATGTTTGTTCGTGTTGCGGTCCCCTGGCCCTGAGCAGGTTTCGGGGGTTCCTGGCAGAGGAGGACGGAGGCAGCGTGACGCAGTGTGGCTACAGCTGGACAAGGGCAGTGCTGACGTCCTGATTTGAGCCCAGCGAGGCCTGTGTTGGCCTTCTGACCCCAGAGCTGTGGGACAGTAGCTGTCGTTTGAAGCCACGGCAGCCATAAAAGCTAACACGTAACTAAGACGCGTTCTCTGTTCTCAGGAGACCCCCAGTCACACCCCGGGCACCAGGTGCAGTAGGGTGAGAGGAGCAGGGTGCTGCGGGGCTGGGGGAGGGGCGCTGTGAGGCTGGGGGAGGGGCGCTGCAGGGCTTGGGGGAGGGCCACAGATGAGACAGGGGTGTCCGAGAAGGCTTCTGGGACCAGTGGCCCAAACAAAGATCATGTCCAGGCTGGTCAGGCAGAAGGGCAGCCTGTTGAAGTGGGGGCCACGGGAGGGGGAGGGCAGTTCTGGGGGAGACTGAAGGCCTGGCCACAGCCCAGAGTGCGCGGAAGGGTGCATAGAGAGGAGAAGGGCCACGGTGGGGGGGGAGGCTGCTCCCTGGGAGTGGAGAGCCGCGGGTACACGGCGGGTGCAGGGGTCACTGCAGTCATGGCGGCCAGGAAGGTGGGTGGAGGGAGCTGGCTGGGCTCGTGCTGACATCCGGGCGCCCCCAGGGTGGTGGGACCTAGGGCGGTGGCGGTGGACATGGATGGGAGAGGCATGCGGGGCACTGGTGGCTGGCCCAGACCCTCCTGGACGGCACAGCGTTCGCTGTTCGCTAAGGGGCTCAGAGGGGTGTCTGGAAACAGGTGTGGCCGGTCAGTGTCGCTGTTGCCGTCCTCTCCAGCTGGTGCTTCCTGTGATCATTCTGTCACCTCTTGCCAGCTGGCTTCTGGCGCCAGAGAGGCCAGGGGCTGCTCGTGCCCGCATCCTATGTAACAGGAGGCGCGCAGCGGGCCCCCCTGTAGCCTGTGCTGAGGATCAGGAAAGGTCAGGCCGCGTTGCGTGGCCGGGAAGTGGATGTGGAGGGGTCCCTGGGGACAGGCCAGCGGGGAGGCAGATGCAGGGCCTCCCTGGGCTCTGAGGAGGCCAGTCTTCCAGCTTCGGTATTTACCGGAGGCACCGATGGCGCTTTGGGGACTGATTTGTCACTGTTAACATGCAGAGACCGTCTGTCTGGGTCGCTGCCTGTGGGGGCGCTAAGAATCGGTCCCGAAGAGGTCACTGGGAGAGGCCTGTTTGGGGACTCTGCCCACACTCTGATTTCTAAGGGCGTGGACTCCCAGGTGCAGGTGCCCTGGGCTGTCGGGTAAACGGGCCTCACCAGGAGGAGTGGGGTGGATGCCACACACTGGCTGGGTGACCCGGGGGAACAGTGTGGCCTCAGGATCCTCATCTGTAAGTGGGGGTCGATGGTCCCTACCTTTCAGGTTGGTGGGAGGATCCTGTGGGTGAAGAGGCAAAGTTATTTCTGTTTGAATTTAAAAAGCCACCACACTGTTTTCTTCAGTGCCTTTGCTCCAAAGCTGCTTCCTCTGGGAAGTCTTCCTTGATCAAGATGTCCTCTTCTGGTTACTCAGCAGCCAGTGTTTGTCTGTCCTTTCAGAAGATATGAATTAAGCACGGCTGTGTGCCAGCCCTCACCTGGGTCTTCGCGCTGGGGGGCTGGGAGCGCATAAAGGAATGGCCAGACTGTCCCGGGCTGTGGCTGTGGCTTGGCGTGGGGACCATGTGGCGGGTCAGGGAGTCCTCATGCCCAAAGGACCTGCGGGAGGGAGGAAGGCGCGCAGGCAGGCCCCTGCAGATGCAGACAGGGGGCTGGGCCTGGCACGCTCCGAGCCGGCGGGAGGCAGGTAGGAGCTCGGTGGATGGAGGGCGAGGGGGTCAGGAGCCGGGTGGAGGCAGGGGGCGCAGAGTGCTGCGGGCGGGCCTGCGGGCCGTGGGGAAGACTTTGCCTGAGGGCCTGGGTGGCCGGGTGGGCGCGCCGACATGGTGTCCGGGCAGGAATGAATGCTCTCAGGCAGGAATGAATGCTCTGGTTCTGCTTTGTTGAGCAGTGGGCGGGCGGAGCGGAGAGCCCTGGGGGCCCTGGCACTGCCACCTGGGGCGGAAGGGCCAGCTCTTCGCTCACCTTGGTGGCAGAACCCCAGGGCCGCCGAGGCCCTGAGCAAGGGGCATTGGCGGGCTGGCCGTTTGCCGCGGGGACAGACTGTCCCGGGGAGGCGATGGGCGGTGGGTGTTCTGAGTGGACAGACGGGTGTAGGGGTGCGTGTGAGGAGACGGCAGGAGGCCCTTTGGGGGGGGCAGGCAGGGGTGTGAGGCGGTGTTGGCGTCAGTCAGAATTTCAGGGTCGGGAGAGGAGGAATGAGCACCAGGTCAATATAAGGACCGAGGTCTCGAGGAGAGGCACCGGCCACTGTGTCTGTTTCTTCTGAGAGGTCAAGTGGGTAGTGCTGGGATAGCCCCGGGCTCACCGGGGACCCGGAACTGAGCCTGAGCAGTGCGCGGTCCACACACAGGCCAGAGGAGGGAGGCACCAGGAGCCACCCCTCTCCCAGGGTGAGTCCATCCTTGCTGGCGCTCTTGGTCACGTATCCTGCCTGTTCCTGGGCGTCCAGCTCACCAGGGCTATGCCTTTGGTGGCCACTGTGTGGTCTCGGGTAGCAGGTGCAGCCTGGGGGGTGGTGGCTGGCCCCTGGGCTTCCTCTGAGCATTGCCCCCTGGGGCCTCCCTCCCTCCAGGCACGAGCTTGCTGCAGGAGGTGGTCTACCTGGTGAGCCAGGGGGCTGACCCGGACGAGATCGGCTTGATGAACATTGACGAGCAGCTCCCCGTCCTGGAGTACCCGCAGCCGGGCCTGGACATCATCAAGGTACTTCCAGGCCAGCGTGCCCAGGCCCAGGGCTCTCTGGGGACCCCGAGTGACACTTGACCCTGAGGGGCCCAGGGGCCCCTATGTGGAGGGAGAGCAGACAGCCAGGACAGATAGGCCCGAGCCCCTGGCAGTGACGGAGAGAGAGGGGCAGTGGGTGACATGGGGGACTTCGGGGGAGAAAGGGGACTTCCCACTGTGGCGCACGCCATCTGTCGGGGGAGCGGAGAGGGATGCATTTGCACGCCGTATTTGGCACCTGGAATGTACTAAACATCCCAAAGTGCTGTCCGTCCTAGTGCTCAGATGTAGCTGCAAGTTTTCCCTCTCTTCCTATCACTGTCACTGCTTAGCCCAGGCCACCTTTCCCGTGCGGACCGCCCATCCGTTCTCCCTCTCGCTGAGCTTCCTGAAGCACAGCTCTGAGAGTGCACCCCGGCCCCCCTTTCTCTGCTCTTGGAGGAAAGTCCAGAGTCCTGTGTGAGGCAGTGTCTGCCTGCGCCCCAGCCTCGTGTTCGCTCAGCTGCAGCGGGGCGTCTGCACTCCAGCACGTGGCCACACAGGTCCAACTGGTGCCGACTCCTCCGTGGAGCCCTTCAGTAGCGCAGTACCGGGCGCCCAACACCCGTGGGGCACTGCCCTTGACCCTGGAGTGGCGCCGAGAACAAAACAGACTATGCTGTCATGACCCTCAGAGAACTTGCAATTCTAGCGCGGGAGACCAGTGGGGGGAAGGGCAGGAGGCCGGGGTTCCGGGGTTCAGTGCTGTGTAGGGCACGAGGTGGGACAGGACACAGGATGGCAGCCCTCCGTGGGGGACGGCCAAGCAAGGTCCCGAAAGAGGAGGCGCGCGGGCGCGCTGGGATGGGCACACGTTCCGGGAGCGCAGGAAGGCCGATGCTGATGTGACAGATCCGGCAGGTGCCCCTGGGCACCTCGGCCCCGGCTTCCTCTCTGCCCTCCACAGCCCGGGCAGCCCCTCTGAGCAGAGCCCCGTGCCCGTGGTAGCTTGGCTCACGCTGTGGGTGCCCGAGGACAGGGGCCTCATGGTGTCCAGTCTGGAGGGTGGCCAGATGTCGGGGGAGGGGTCTGTCGGGGGCACCGTTGGTCCTGACCGTCAGAACCGGCCCTGAGGTGGGCGAGTGGCCGCGTGTCCTCTGAGCGCTTCTCTGTCTGACCGTCTGCAGGAGCTGACGTCTCCCCGCCTCATCAAAAGTCACCTCCCGTACCGCTTCCTGCCCTCCGACCTCCACAACGGTGATTCTAAGGTAACCCTACCGCCCCCACCCCCGGGCGGAGCCCCGATGAGCAGAGGCCGTCCCGCAGGGCTCAGGGTCCCCGTCCTAAGTCCTAGAGGCCCCTGCATGGTGGCGCGGGCTGGAGGCCATCTTTGAGCTAACGTCCCTAGCGTTTTATCCATGCTTCTAATTTAGGCTTTTTCTCATGGTTGAACATGAGCTTGACCGACCTTGGTCCAGCTTCTGCTGGGGTGAGGCCGAGGGTGCACGGCCACGTTCACGGTCTCTGACTTTCCCCGCTTTCTCGGCATGCTCGGCTCACGAGGCTTCTGAGTCTCATCAGCAGTGTCAGGACCAGCCTGTTTCTGTCCCTTTGAAGTCAGGGGGTAGGACATAAACGTGACACATGCCATCGCAGGGAGGAGAGTGCCCTCGGTGGGGGCGGGGCTCACCTGAGAGTTGCGAACCGACAGGGTGTCGTGTGTCGTGGTTCAGAGGCACAGGCCTGAGCCGCCCCCCTCCCGCCACAGGTCATATACATGGCTCGGAACCCCAAGGACCTGGTGGTGTCCTACTACCAGTTCCACCGCTCGCTGCGCACCATGAGCTACCGGGGCACCTTCCAGGAGTTCTGCCGAAGGTTCATGAACGACAAGTGTAAGTGTGTCCGCCTGTGCCATCCGCTGCCCCCTCATCGCCTGCGTCTGCTTGTGCTTTGCCCACCTTGCACGCAGGCCCCCCATAACCACGCAGGCTGGGCCTGCTTCCCCGCCGACGGGCGGAGGAGCAGGGGTGGAGGGGGAGCTCATCAGGGCGGAGCTGGGGTGCGGCGGACTGGGCTCCAGCTCAGAACCCCGTCTCACCCACGTCACTGGGGTTCTGAGAAGCTCCCCGCTAGAAGCATTCCTCTTCCTGCCGGGATATTGAGCTGTGCAAATGGAGGCCCAGAGAGTTCTGCTGTCAGAGACAGAGGCCCGAGTGAGGGCTGTGGCTTTGCGTGGGAGCCCCGTGGGCATTTAGCTGCCCTGGAGGATGGGGCAGGCAGACTTGGGCCCCCAGCCCCCGGCTGTGTGACCCGGGCGGGGCCTGCTTTGGGTGAGGGGCAAACAGTGCTCTGTGTAGAAGCTCGTGTCGGGGGTGGAGGTGAGCAGGGGGCCAACTTTCTGGGGCCCTTCCATATCTCCCCATCTCTCCCCGGGGCAGGAGAAACTGGGCCACGCCCACTGCACGGGGCCCTTGGCTGTGGAGTCGGCAGCCCCTGCTCGAGGTGGCTCTCCTCTTGCCATCTGTGGCCTGTCTGGGGACCCTTCTGGGACCTCGAGCGGGAGTTCAGTGAGGGTTTGCTTCCGGAAGGCTGGAGACGGGCCGTATCAGTACTCCAGTTAAATCTGGGCCCAGACGATTCCATACCCGAGTCTGAGAATACACTTCCTATTTGATTTTCCACCTCATGTCTCAGCGCTCAGCCTCGCCATCCGCTTGTGCAGCCCAGTCGGAGGTTGCACGCTGAGATTATGGGGCAAGGCCAGGGTGAAGTGCACAGGGGAGATCGGGAACCTAGTGCCCCAGATCAATCCCGGGCAGCTGAACTGGAGCTCCCTCCTGAGCCTGTTGGAAGGCTGGCCCCTCATGGGTGCAGCGGAGCCCACGCCGTCCTCAGTGCTGGGAGCCCGGAGCTGCTCTGGATCTGCTCCGGCTCTGCCGGGGGGTGGGCCCAGGGGAGGAGGCCACGGCACCTGGAGTCCGAGAGCAACCCTCTACCCAGCCACTTTCCCCTCCCCCCCCCTCCCCCAGCCTGCCTGCTGTCTGGCTCAGGTCCTTACGGTCTGCCAGGCATTTAGAGTAAGTCGTTACTGTCATTTCCAAACAACGTCCGTAAGTTCCGCTGCCTCTAGACAAGCAGCCACCTGTAGGCAGCCGTGCCCCGCAGCCAGGGGCCCACCAGCTTCCGACTGCCACCTGGTGTCCGCCTTACATTAGCTTCCTGCTCGGGCCAGGCTGGTTAAAAGTTGCCTCAGTACAGTCGTCTCCATGTTTTAAAGGTCACGGCATTGCCCAACGCTGAAGTTCAAGGCCACACACACTCGCTCGATCCCACCAGAGCCTCCCGCCACGTGCACTTAGCTCCCCCGCGTTCTCTGTTCTCGCAGCGTTGGCAGCCAGCGCGCCACGCCCGGGGCCTTGGAGCCTTGCATCCTCCGTTGTCTGAGGTTCTGAAGAATTTGAAGAATAAGCTGCACAAGGAGCAGTGGCTGGGCACCATTTGCTAATAGAGTGAACTTGGAGGGCCCGCTGCCAGAGCCCCACAAGTGTCGTGGGTGCTGTGACTTGTGTGATCAGGGTGGGGGTGGCGGGGGCCGCAGGCCAGGTGCCGGGAGCGTGGAAGCCCTCCTTATGGGCGGGGTCCCTCCCACAGAGGGGCCGGAGCGAGCTGCCTGGACGAGCACATCAGCCTCCAGGAACGGAGGGAACCTGGGGGGCAGAGGCAGAGCGGTGCCCTGGTGGCATTTCCTTCCCGGGGGGGTGGGGGCACATCCTGAGCGGGAAGAGCAGTGTCCCTGCTGGCAAGGTCCGTCGCGTCTCTGCACCTGCTGACTGGGCCTCGGAGAGACCCAGGCACCTGCTGTCCCTGTGATCATCGAGCCTGTGCGAGTGACCGCCGTCCCCATCCCTTCCTGTCCCTGCCACCTGTGTTCGTATATCCTCACGGTCCCCGTGTCACCCCTCCCGTTCAGTCCCCACATCATCCTGCGTGGGCATCGCTTGGCTGTTTTGCGAGTTTTCTCACGCAGCCCCTCGGAATGACAGGGGTTTTCTTACCCTCTCTGTTCACGGCTGCTGTGTCCCCGGGCTCGGGCCACCTGGACTGGGTGCCAGCTCGGGCTCTGACCTGGGAGGCGGGTTCTCCTCTCGGGGCCCCCGAGCCTGTGGGTGAGTCGGCCCTCTCTCCCTTTCGTGGACTCCACTTTGTCGTCTCAGGCGGGAAGGCCAGCCTGCTGTGTCCAGGGCACGTGGATGTGCCCGGCTGGCCGTGGGAGGCGTGCCGGGGCCCCAGGCCGAGCAGCTGGACCTCTGCGGTGAGGAGAGCGGGGCCCTAGCGGCCGGGATGTAACCTAACAAGGCCTTTTGGCTGAATCCATGTTCGGTTTGTCCTGTCATCTCTGCCTCTCCCCCCACCGCTGCCAGAGCCCCTGCAGGGTGGGGTCCGGTGGGCCCGAAGAGGGCCGTTCTGCTGGGCTCTGGTCCTTCAGGCCACCCCTCGGCCGCTCCTGACCGGCTCCAGCTCCCCCAGGACCCTCTTTGGGCTGTGGGCCTGGCTGCTGCCGTGCTGCCACCTGCTGGCGGGATGGCAGGTTGACGTTGAGGCCCGGCTGGCCGGGCGCCGCAGGGTTGGGTCCCAGCCTCTGTCACTCACTGAAGTCCAGGAGGTTCTCTGCAACTTGGGGGGCGGGGGGGAGGGAGGCTGTGTTCTCTGCTTGAGGTGTGACAGGGACAGGCGCAGTCCCCTGCCGCCCCCGGCCTCCGTGCCCCTCGGCAGTCCCAGTCCAAGCGGGACCGGACGTACGTCCCACCAGAGGGAGCAGAGAGGCGCTTCCCCCCAGCTGGCCCTGGGGCCCCAGGCGTCACTCGGGTTCTCTCTGCGCCGGCCGCTGCCTGTAGCTCCTGCTGACACTGCACTCGTGGAGGAGGCGGCTCAGGAAGGCAGAGCGGCCTGCCCGGCCACACCGCCAGTGCGGGATTGACAGGCCCGGCCATGCAGCCCGGAGGCAGTGTCCTTTTCCATTCCGCTGTGCCCCCCCTGCCCCCCGTCTGACCTTGTCACTGTGCTCCGAGCCACCTGGATAGCCCTCCTGTCCTTAGGCCCGTAAGTCCATCCACAGCCCTCATGCACCCTCCCGGGTCTGCCCCCGTGTGGGGCGGGGCCCCCGTGTCACGGTGCCTCCCTCCCAGCGTCGGTCACTCGATCCTCACCGCCAGTCTCCTTGGTCATTCCCGCCAGGCTGGGAGCTCCTTGAGCCCAAGCCCGCGAAGCAGGATCCTTGGGCCCCGTGGTTGTGAGACGATGGGCCCCTGGGGGAGCGTGCCCGGCACTCCTGGCTGGTGCAGGGCCAGGCAGTTCTCTGGCTGAGGCCGCCCTCCGTTTAACACGGAAGCCGCCTCGGAAGACCCCTCGGTGAGGGAGCCGGTGAGGGTCCCTAGTTGTTATACAGAGCATTGCAGAGCAGCCTGGCCACACGGATTGGCACATCCCCCACCTGCCCATGTGGCCCCGACCCCCAACCAGAGCCCCGAGGGGTGTAGGAAGTGCAGGGGCTGTGGTGTGGGGCCTGAGCCTCGTATGTCAGCACACACCGCCTCTCTTCACCCCTGCGACTTGACTTCCTGGTTCTGCCTGGTATTGTGCCTGTGACCCTCTCACCTGTCAGGGCCTCAGCCTCGGATCTTAGAGCCGCCAGCACCTCTCCCTGCCCCCGCCCACGCCTCCCCCTGCTGGCCCCAGGTCTCAGTTCCACTGGGGATGGCTCCCGTGTGGCCTCGTGTTAAACAGAAACTCGTGGGAGCCAGGTAGCATCCTTCCCCCAGGTGAGCAGGGGCCTTTGCCCCTGGTGGTCAGGTCTTCAAGGCGTCCAGGAGGTGGGGGAGGGGAGGGCTGAGGACCGTTGGCAGGAGAGCCTTGCACACAAAGCCGGGGTCTGGGACCACAGAAGGGGCTCACCTGCGGGCCTGCCCCGGAGTCAAAAGCTTGCTCTTCCCTTCCCGAACCGCAGCTGCTGGGCAGGAAGAGCAGAGCCTCCCAGAAGGCAGGGAGCCAGGCCACCCGCCTGTGCACATTTGTTCCCCCGGGGCTGTGACTCACCTGCCTCCTTGTCTCCACAGTAGGCTACGGCTCCTGGTTTGAGCACGTGCAGGAGTTCTGGGAGCACCGCATGGACTCGAACGTGCTTTTCCTCAAGTATGAAGACATGCACCGGGTGAGTGCTGGGAGGGGCAGCTGTCGCGGGCCCGGCGCCTTCTGCCCCGCGGCTCCTGGGAACGTTGCGGCGGGCATGACCAGAGCGGGTGGCCTGGCCTCTCTGAGAACCCCAGCTTCTGGGTGAAGGGACTCCCGGGTTCCAGGTGTGCCCAGAATCCTCCTGGCCAGTCTCCAGGCCGCACTGGCACATGGGACCCTACCCCCACCCGCCAGGCTTGGGCCCCATGGGCCGTTTCTGGGGTGGGCAGCGTGCGGGGCTCCAGAGAGCCCCGTCCATTATTTGTCTGCAGAGTGACGGCCAGACTGGCTCCATAGGTGGCCGGGGGCAGGGGGGGAGGGAAGGGCTGAGATGGCAGAGGCCGAATTCCTCGTCTCACCTCAGGGGCAGTACTCAGATGGCTGACGAGGCGGCTCCGGGGGAGGGCTTCCGGGCACCGGGCACCAGGTGTGGGGGAGGAAATGGCATTAGGTGGTTGTTGCCTGAATGTTCCAGGCTCGGCCGTGGCCTTGGAACAGTTGAAGGCAAGACGTGCTTGTGCCCTGGAGGGCTTGCCGTCTAGAGGGGGTCCGACACACCACACGTCACATCGTCACATGTCACATCGTCACCGCCGTTAGCATTTTTAATGGCCTTACTGTGTGCTGAATTTCATCTGAGGTTCCTTGCGTGTGTGTTGGCTCACCTACTTCTAGAACGCTCTTATCTTCTCTGCCGGGGCTGTATCATCTCTGGAGGGACGTTTGGACGCTTCCCCTTTTTTGTGACAGAGAAAGGCAACCCCCCCTCCCCCAAGCCCCTTCCCTGTCTGGCTCCTCGGCTCCACTTGGCTGCAGGCCCGCACACTTGTGCCCCTCCTGCCCACCCGGTACCCCCAGCTGCTCTGTCAGGGCCACTCGTGGCCTCCACGTGGCTCCATCCCGTGGTCTCCGTCCATGTCATCCCATCCGGCCTCCTGGCAGCAGGTGACAGTCGATCGCCCCCTCCCCCTGGCACCGGGGACACTGCATGGTCCCGCACCCTGGTCTCCTCGGGTGCTTGGTGGTGGCGCACCTGGGCCTCGGGCCTCAGGCCGGGCTCCCATCTCTCCCCGTCCTCACTCCCTTCCCTGGTGACCGCAGGCCGGACGTGGACCCTCCCCGCCCTCGCTCTCCCCTGCCGCCCCTGCACCTTTCTCCCTGAATGTCTGCTTGGGGGTCTCACCACGCTAGAGGCTTCCCCTCAGATCCTCCATGTGAGATCGAGGCGGCCAGCTCCGTCTGTGTCCCTGAGGCAGAAGTCGTGAGTCACCCTCAGCTCTGACTTCTCTCACACCCTGTGTCCCTCTTCCTGATCCTGTGGCCTCTCTCTTCCCAGCGTGCCCCCGTATGACCGTTGTCCCCCGGTCTCTGAGATCTAGGTCAGTGTCACTTCGGCCTGGTCATTGCTCGTGCGGCCCACGTGCCGTGTGACTGCAGTGCGGCGGCGGCTCCAATGGTGCGCACGCCAGGCAAACTGTGCCCTTCGGGCTGCATGTCGCTCTGAGCGCAGGTCAGGGCTCACTTGGTGGCCTGGTGCCTGGGCATCTGACTGCTCGCTGTTCTTTCCACCTGCGGCTCCAGCTTTTGTTCCAAGGTCTTTGTTTGCCTCAGTCCTGCCTGCAGTGTTCTCCGACCCCCCGTCCACATGGGTTGCTCCCTCTGTCCTTTCGGGTCTCTGTCCCCGTCGGTGACACCTCCCTGGTCCCTGCTTGAACCGGCTCTTCCCCTCCCCAGCGCGTCTCTTTCCCGCCTCTGTGGTCTCCACAGCATCCACCATTTCGCCCCGTGTTTTATCATCTGCATCTGGTTTGCTCACCGTCTCCCCCACCAGAGCAAGCGCCCCCGGGGCTGGGGGTTTTGGTGCCTGTTTCTGCTTTCACGCCGGTGCCTGATGCGTGACAGGGTCCCAGGGAAACATTTGTGGGTTGAAAACATGGCCTTCACGGTAGAAGCCCTTCCTCCTCATTAAGAAGCCAGAGGCCCAGGGGGCAAGGGGCTTGCGTGGGGCAGGTGAGCAGGGCCTGCCTCAGGCTCCCTGAGCGGGTGGCGAGCGAGCAAGCGGGCCCGGGACGGTGGCACCGGGCAGAGCAGCCTGGCGTCCTGGCCAAGGCCACGGCTCTGGTGAAGGAGTTCGTGTAGAGAGTCCACATGGTTCCCGGTGGTGGGCCTGGGGACAGGCACTGGGCAGGGGACTCGGTGCCACTGGGTGGGGTAGGCAGGGTACGGGGTGGAACTTGGCCTTGATCCTACAGAGAGCTGACAGGAGACACGGAAGGAAGAGCAGGCTCTGTGTGAAGATGGGGAGCTTGCTTTTGGCCTTGTTGAGTTTGAGGGGACCGCAGGCCAGCCAGCAGGGATGCCGCGAACAGGGTGCCACGTGCCTCGAGGTCAGGAAGGGGTACAAGTGGCGTGAGGCCTGCGCGAGTCCTGCCTCCAGTGTCTGTGCCCTCCTGCAGACTCCCGCGCTGATGCCCGGCCGGGCCATGTGAGTTTGGAGGCCCGGACGGGCACACTGCTCTCGGGAGCTGGGGGAGGGCTCACGTGCTGGGCTGGCCCTCACAGATGCTGGGGGAGGAGAGTGATGGCCCGGCCGCCAGCCCTGCCTGACCAGCAGACGTGAGCAAGGCCGTCACGCCCCTCCTGGGCCCAGGGGCCTACAGATGGCTGCAGCGCCAGGAGGGGGCCTCCGTGACCCCTCTTCTCCCTGGTGCCAACCTGGTGAGCAGGTGAGACCGCTCCTCCATCACAGGGTCATAAGAGGATCGTAGGCGGCATCACCTTCGAGTGGGGCCTCACGCGGGAGGTCGGCAACGCTCAGCAATGCCTCTCACTGTTCTTGCATTTTAGGGAGGTGTGGCATGTACGGTCACGTATACAAATCACAGGTCCACAGCTTGACAGATTTTTTTACACATATATATCTGCATAATCGTCACCTAGATTGAGATCCAGAACATTCTAGCTTTTTCCAGGCAATGCCTCTGCTGCCCAGAGGTGACCACTCTTCTGATCTCTGTCAGTCCTGGTTAATTCTGCTTGGTTTTGAGCCTTCCATGAATGGAGGCCTGTGGCGTGTATGCTGACATCGGCCTTCTTTTGCTCAGCGTAGCGCCTTGAGGCTCGTCAGCGCTTTGTGGGGTGGCTGGGTCTCCGTTTACGTGGTTTTCCGTTGCAGCAGGAACTCGCCAGACGCCACAGTTAAGGCGTTCAGTGTGGTGGGCGTTGGGGCTGTTTCCGTTGGAGTGGTCATGAATCACGAATACTGTCCCGCGAACATTCTTGTGTCTTAGAGGACATAAGCTTTCTTCTTCCCTGGGCGCTGACCCGGGCTGGGGTGCACTGGGCCTGCTGGCTAAACTGAGTGTCTTACGCCTGCCTGTACTACGGGTGTGCGCTCCCACGCCGCGGGCCTGATGTGCATGGAGAGCCCGTTCAGCTGCGCACATGCGTGCGGGGCCCTGACGGCGCTTCCCAGAGCTTCAGGTGACTCAGCAATGAGTAGCTCGACTGTTTAGTCACTACCCCAAGGCGGAGTGGGATATACGCTTTACATAACTTTGTAGCTAAAACACAGACCGGTGCCTGGCCACTCCAGCTTCGTTCCAGGCCCTGAAAGGGGACATTCCTGGTGGTGCCTTACCAGGCTCCTCAGTGAAAATCTCGGACCCCCAGCACCCCGCCTGCGCCCATCTCAGCCGGGACTCGCGCTCCCAATGCCAGGGTGACCACATGGCGTTTACTGTGGCCAAGGTCCTAACTTCTAATTGTTTATTCTTTCTTCAGAAACCACAGTAAGGGTCTGGATGCCTTTAATAGAGATTAGGTGACTGTCACATTTTTAGGAATTCATATTGTCTACATCTTACTCCAAAAAAACAGCCCCAAGCGCACATGATGGGTCTCCGGGAGCGTGGCCAGGCCTGGCATGTCCTCCTCTTGGGTGAGAATACCCAGCAGCCGAGCTCTTGCTGCCCCGTGCGCTCCCCCTGAGGCTCCCCCATCCCGCCGAGCCGGTGCCCGTGTGTCACCCCCCAAGTCCTGCCGTCACCTGTGGGTGTTCTCCCAGCCACAGGTGAGGAGTCGGCTAAGACCAGCAGACCAGACACGCTAATTCATGGATGGGGAGTGAGCCCGGGAGGTCCTGCAAGCCGTCCAGGGCTGGCCCGAGGCGGGGACACCGCCTGCCTGCACAGCTCGGTTTCCTAGCAGGGGAGCAGGCTCGTGGCAGGCGGCCGGGTGTGCGCGGGCACGTGGGCCTACCTCCCCTGGGTGGATGTCGTCCCCACTGGGGTTCTGTTGGGTCCCCTCCCTCTCCTGTGGTGTCTCCTCTGAGGGCCTGGGGTTCTCTCATCTCTGTCTCTGCTTTTTTCCTTTTCATTAGAGACAGCGGGTGGCCGGGCAGGTGACGGGAGCTCCTTCTTGTCCTTTTCCCTCTCGTGTCTCTTGTGCTCCTGATCAGGGCCCAGCCCTGCACACAGGCCTTGGAGCTGAGCGTCCGGGCCCCTGCCTGGTGGGAGCCACTGCCGGGGTCAGCTGGTGGGGGTGGGCAGGACGCAGGGCCCAGTGGTGATTACCGCGGGAACGCCGAGAGGAGCTGCCGCTCAATCCAGCTTTCCCAGAGCCTTTTCTGTCATTAAGGTTTGTGAAGTACTGCATCAAAGAAATTAAATGGGTTTCTTTATCGTAGAACTTGTCAGAGGCTTTAATGTGCTGATGGGTTATAAACCATCGAGGCAACAGCTTTCAGCATTTTTCTAAGTCGGTACCTGGACGCTGGCAGAGTTTGGAGACTGCCCAGTGACAAGTCAGGGTTCTGGGCACGTCTGGCTGTGCACAGACTGAAAATCTGAGGTGCCTCGGTACTTCCCAGGGGGACAGTGGTGGTGGTGGCGAGGGGCTGTGTGTGGCGAGCAGGGGTGTGCCCCTCCCAAGACTCAGGCTGTGGCACCAACGCTCGAGCTATCCAGAAGCGAGGAGCGTCGGGGCCAGAGATGGGTTTGTCCATCGAGTCGAGTGTAACTGAATCTTCACTCCAGGCCAGCTCCTCCTGCCTGGTGAGGGGGGCTGGCGCCGGGGCCTGTCTGGGGTCCACGGGCGCCACCTTGTTCTCCCAGCTGATTGCACAGCAGGCAGGGGAAGGAGAGCAAGCTGGTCTGACTGCTGGCATGGTTCTGAACTGAGTTTTCCTGTCTTGCTGCTGTTTTAAAATGACCACTGCGATACCAGGACCTCACGCCCGTCCCAGATCCCCCAGGGGACAGGGGTTTGTATTCCAGCTCTGCCCCTTGAGAGCCGAGCACCCTCGGGCAGTCTCTTAACCAGGTTTTATTTCCAGACAAGGCCAACATCAGGTTTGTCTGGAGGACTGAGCTAGGAAGGGTGAGCAGGGCACCTGGTGAGTGACCAGCCCCGCGCACTTGGTTGGCAACAGTGCTGCGTCTGACGGGCGCCCCGCTCTCTGCTCTTGTGTTCCAGGACCTGGTGACGATGGTGGAGCAGCTGGCCAGATTCCTGGGGGTGTCCTGTGACAAGGCGCAGCTGGAGGCCCTGAGCGAGCACTGCCACCAGCTGGTGGACCAGTGCTGCAACGCCGAGGCCCTGCCTGTGGGCCGGGGTACGCGCCCTGCCCCTCCCCCCGCCCCCCATGTCCGTGTTCTCTGCGGGGCCTCGTCTCTCCAGCGCCCTCCGCTCTGCGAGGGCAAGAAGGTCATCCAAAAGCCGGCTGCTGTTCACGGAGCCGTGCGGGGCCTTCCAGTGGCATCTGCCTTGCAGCCATGGGGGTGGCCTCTTAGGTCACGGGGTGGAGGCCGGGATGTCGCCGGCTTTGTGGGCAGACATTTCAGGCAGGCGCCCAGCAGAGCCCGGGATGGGTTTGGGGCTGTCAAATTTTGAAGCACAAGGTGTGCAGATGGACCCCTCCATTCCCGCGGTGGGTGCTGGTGCCGTATGGCTTCTCACCGGAGGGGCTGGCACTCGGGCATGAAGCACCTTGAGGCGGAGGACGCGGTCCAGGTCAGAGCCCTTCCCAGATCTGCCCGGGTTGCGTTCTGTCTTTCAAGGCTCACGATATTTGAAACTGCCTGATTGTGCGGAACTCGGGCATTAAAGTGCCCCAACCCTCCCTCCCACCTCCGGTGGTGGCCATGCCCACCTCAGCCACCCCCTTGGGCAAGTGTGAATTGCCTGTGACACTTGGTGCCACGGACCTGCCTCTGGTTCCCAGCTGTGTGAATTTGGAGAGTCTGCAGGTGGTGGCACGGTCGCGGGCCCGGCCCACAGGTGCGGGTCTGGGCTAGTGCCGCGTCCTGTGGGGCGGGGGCGTCGGGCGGGCCTTGAGCTCCTTCAGCCTCATGCCCTTCCTCTGGCCCCGGGTGCTGAGGGGGTCGTCCTGAAGGTCGGGTGGAGCGCGCCCTCCCGTAAAGGCAGAGCAGTCGACCGAAGCCCCAGCACCTCGCGAATTATTTCCTGGCTGCATCTTCACAAATATTTATTATTTAAAATTTATTTGCTCTTTTTTAGTTTTGCTTTTGCTGTGTTTTGTTATCCTTGGATGTGACCTTCTCCGAAATACCCCTTTTGGTTCGTTTGCGTGGTAAAGAAGTGTCGAGAACATACTGCGTGCCCATATGCTCCTTCCGATGTGTTTGCTTTATCATTGTTTACCTTGGTTTCGCTTTATTTCAGTTCTTTGATTTTGTTTTCTTTTAGCACATTGCCTCTTTGCTCAGAAGACCTCCTTGCGTTGGTGAGAACGTAGGGCTTGCGTAGCCAGCTGCGTTGCTTAAATTTGATTCATATCACAGCATGTATTGCACTGTCTTGATTCCAAACCCTAAACCAGGTGGGTGACTCCTTTGATGAGCTCTCAGCTGCCTCAGCTGAGAAAAATAATCATGGAAAAATATATTTATAGTGTGGCCGGTCTAGAAGCTTCTAATTTTGTCCCTTAGGTATCATTAGAGGGTGGCGAGAACAGCCTCCCCCGATTTTCATCTCCCCCCTCGCTGACACTGATGTACGATTTTGCATCACCCTTGAGAAAACCCTTGCCGTGAGCTGTCTTTCGGCTCAGCACTTGCGGCCTTGCGGTTTCAGCCCCGAGGTCCTGCCGGGCCGGGGGCTTCTGTGATAACGGAGGCGCTGACCAAGGCTGTCAGGCCGTTTGCCGTCGGAGCTCCGATCTCGGAGAGGCCGATGCGGAAAGGAATTCTAAACCAGCATTCTGTCCCCCGAGGCTGATACTTAAAAGCCTGGTGACAGCGCCGCGGTGACGGCCTTCACAGCTCCTGGAGGTGGGGGCTTGGAACCCCTGCCCCCCACTCCTGACACCCTCGCGGTTGCCGTTCACATGTGCAGGCTAACTGAAGGGTTTGTAGTTAACGAGGAAAGTGGGTTCAGTGGCTTCGGGGACGCATTTTGAGCCATCTTTCCCCCAAAGCCTTCGTGAGTGAAAGTAGCCCATGCCCTCCCTGCTCTTTAGCCTGCGGGCTCTATGTCCCTGCACACCTCCCAGGAAAGGTCTGGTGTTTTGACCGAGCCCCCGCCCTGAGCCCGAGCTTCTAGGAGCTGCTGGGGATCACCCAAGACTCAGGTGGGGCTGAGTCGGTGAAGCGCACGCTTAGTACCCGTGAAAGCGCTTGACAGTGGGGCCCTTCTGTTCCCTTTAAGTACCTCCCCAAGGCTGCAAGGCGGCCTTCTCAGAATCTTCACCCTTGACCCAGCCAGGAGGCCTCCTGCTCACCATAAAACGTTCTGTCTTTTTGAATGATTTTTTTTTTTTCCTTTTTAAATTCGCCACCAGCAAATGCCGCCTTGGTGGGGCTGTTGAGTCGTGAGTGAGTCAGATAGCACGGGGACCCAAGTCTACACGGTGCCTAGGGCAGTAGATCTGCTCCACGGGGACGCGCTGTCCTCCAGGGTGTTGTGAATCACCCGCTCTGCACCTGGGAGCTGGGGACCTGCAAGGGGACAGGGACAGAGAGGCCTTCCTTGTGAGCCTCAGCCCTGCACATCCATGCCCAGGGGCCCACCCAGCAGGAAGGGACACCAGGAAGACCAGCCTCAGGGACACGGGTCCAGCTTGTCTGTAGTTCAGGTGGCCTGCCCTGCCCCTGCTAGGCCAAGTTCACAAGGGTCCAGAGATAGATCTGGAACCTTCCAGAACCCTTTCCAAGGCTCCCTTTGGTTCGGTGTCTGGCCCGACAGCGAGTGAATTCATCACATTCTGCTCTTGTTTGTGTTTCAGGAAGAGTCGGGCTGTGGAAGGACATCTTCACCGTCTCCATGAACGAGAAGTTTGACTTGGTGTATAAACAGAAGATGGGGAAGTGTGACCTCACGTTTGACTTTTATTTATAATAACAGCGACAGCAAACCTGCATGCTCACCGTACCCAGACACTCTACTAGCTAAAAGTCCCGTATGCACTCATTTGTTCCTTGCTGGACGAAGTCCGGAAGCAGCACGAGGCCCAGGGGAGGGAGGGAGGCGGTGGAGACACCGGAGGAAGAGGGGGTCCTGCCTCCCATCCGGAGCAGCGGCCTCGCCTCTGGGATTTGAAGTCTCTCCGCGTCCGATGACAGATGCCACAAAGACGGTGGTCCCGGTGGCCTGTATCATACGTATAAAGTCTGTAACATATGCAGCTAGAACGTCTACCTTTTACAGCCCCACATTATTTATTGTATTTTATAGAGCTTTTCACTGGGAAATCTAAATAAATGTCAGTAGACCAAATAGAAGTTCATTTCCGAGGGGACTCAGGAGCGAGCCACACCCGAATGGTAGAGAGATCTCAGGGTCGACTCTTTATTTTTGTAGTTCTGTTCTGTACGGCACAGCCGCTCTGCTCTCACCTTGTTCAGAGGTGAGGACGCAGGATGAGGTCGGGGGGGGGGGCTTGTTCCTTTTGAGGAGTTCAGTTCTCTGTAACCTTCCTGAACAAAGCAGAGACCATCCGCTAGGCATCCGCAGGGGGGATGCCCGCTCCACCAGAGACTCCCAGCGGGCAGCCTCAGACACCCAGGACGGCGGCCTCAGCAGATCATCCCTTGAGGGGCCGTGCCGGTGAGGCCAGCAGACGGGCTCTTGCTCGTGCGCGGAATCTGAGTTTTCCTTCCACGGGCTCTTGCTCTCTGGGGCCAAGACCTCTTTATTGCTGGCGAGCAGGTGCTCCGTAGTAAATGCCTCAGACTTGATCATCAGTCAGTCGGTTTGCTCCGTGCGCACCCGGTTTGCAGGTCTAACGCCCTGATTCACTCAGACTGCTTGGAGGTGTCGCCCCTGTGCCCCAGTATACCTGCGGGAGCACAGGTGATGTTCTCACCACCCCGCCCGTCACTCTGTTGTCTGACCCACACGTGGCGGGGGAAACAGTGAGAGAGAGCGGCCGGGTAGTGGCGGGACTGGGGTTGTCTTGGAGGTTGATGTGGCTGGCAAGCGCCCCCGGCCGTGGCTGGAGGGTCGCCACCGTGAAGGGTCCCCGGCTGTGCTGCCACCCCAGAAAAGGTGCAGACACGTGCCGGCGTCGTGCACGCAGAGGAGCAGCTCGAAGCGGGCAGGGGGCGTGTGGCGTCGCATGGTGGGCTTGGACTTTTCTGTGTATCCGTGAGGGAGGCTGCTTTCTGTGAAATTTCTTTTCTATTTTTCTATTTTTAGTACCGTATGGATGTTACTGAGCGCCACACGTGATCTGTCTGTGCCTGCTTGCATCTTTAATAAAGACACATCCCAAGCCTTGTGTCCAGCGCTTGCTGATGGGTGCGGAGGGGTAGCCTTCTAGGCGATCGTGCCGGCGAGCCCCGCCGACAGCCTGCTCCCCGGGGCTGGCCGCACAGGGTCACCGACCCACGCTGGTTGGGCCGTTTCTCTCCAATCTAGACATTCCAGGCGGTGAGTCCCCCTCGCTACTTGTCTAGTCACCGTTGGGATTTCTTACTGGCGGCTGAGAGGAGGGCTGGGGAGAAGGAGATGGGTGTGTGGGGTCTGCCTGGGGAGGCCCCGTTTTTCACGTGGCGCACGATGGTGCGCTGACACCGACCCGGTGGATCGCTCTCCACCACCTTGACTTCCAGAGTCCGCTTTCCCCCATTCCTAGTGGCAGGAGAATCCAGGACACTGTTTTACCTGATAAAGCTGGGGCTTTCTGGAAAGCATTTTTATTTCCAAATAGGCCAGTTCCTTTGGGACTCGGGTGGAACCCCTGAATTGATGTTGGTCTCTGAAATTACCCTTAGACTCCAAGTTAGTCAATGGACTATCTAGTCGGCCGCCCCAGAGGACCTGCTCCGAGGCCATTTGTAAATCACCTGAAATAAAGCAGCAAAGGAAGGTCAAGTGAGCGAATCAAGCATCAGGGCAGGACCCTGTAACCAAAGTGCCAGTTCACCAACTGTGTCCCTGGCCCTGCGCCCTCGCTGTTTCACTTCCTTTCCTGGACTCATTTATTCAGTAAACACAAGCACCTACGATGTCCTGGGGCTGCTGTAGGCGCTGGACGTATGGCCTGAGCATGGGCCTGGCCTCCATGGTGTCCGTCTCTGGGTGGGAGACGACGCCCCCCTCACAAAACCTGTGTGAGGTCAAGCTCCAGAGCTCTAAGAGACCCGGTGATGGCCGGGATCAGGAGGAAGTGAGGGGATGGGGCTTGGGGCCCTCTGGGGTGGGGGGCCCCAGTAGTAGGTGGGGAGGGTGGGGAGGGGGCTGGGTGGTGTGAGGAGGCTGGTGTGGCAGGAGCTCGGATTTGGAGGGGGAGTCAGGAGCCAGCTCACTGAGGGCCTTACAGGTCATGGGAGTTTGGATTTTGTCCTAAGAACTAGGAAGCCACGGGAGGGTTTAATCAAAGGAACACAGACCAGTTTGGATTTTTAAAAGCCCCCTGACTGTGAATGGATTACAGGGCTTTCTCCTGGCTCCGTGATTCACTCAGTCACCAAATGAGGGGTGGGGTGGGGCTGTGTTAGATGAATCCCAAGGGCCCTCCTGACCCAATAGTTGGTTCCCAGCGTCTGTGGGCAGTGTGTACCAGCACGTGTGCATTACCTGCGGCTCCTGCCCGGACCCTTGGGGCCACGACGAGGGGCCACGAATCCGAGGCACAGATGCTGCGAGGCTGGCGGCGGATCCAGGCCGGAGGCAGAAGGGTGGGGTGGGGCAGGTGCATGGGGGTGCGGGTGGGATCTGGGTGGAGCTGTGAGGGCGAGGGGGCCCCGGACAGATGCAGAAGGTGAGAGCGGCCCGGGCAGATGGCTGATGTCACCAAATAACTACCGTGGGAGTCCCCGAATGGCAGGGTCACAGGCCAACAAGATTGCAGGAGGTGTTTGGGGACCCCAGAGGCTTTACCCCCAAGCAGTAGCGTTCGGCCACAGCTCCTCAGCAGGCCGGGGCCGTGTCTGCACTGGCCCCTCGGCTGCGACACTGGGCCATTTGGGGGCACATCATTTCTTTTCCCTCCATGCGCCCCCATCGCTTCATCGAGGGGGGATCAGGAAGGGCTTCCCGGCACAGACTCGCTGGCCCTCCCCCCTGAGCAGGTCAGCTGCGTAACTGGTTTGACCCTGTGTCATAATTGACATAGTAGAGACCATCTCCATCCACACCCCTTTCACGATGGGGTCCTAACAGGAGCCAGGGGGCTTCGGAAGCTTAAACACTGTTCACAGGATGGAGCAGCGGTACCAGCTCCACCGGCGACTGCCCCCTGGTGGCCACGTGCCCGCCACCAGCCGACTTCCACGGGTCACAGGCTGGAGGCCCCTCCTCCCTTCCTCCCTCCCTCACTCCCTCGTGTGGCCTCAGCGCCCTGGATACAGGCCAGACGTGCAGTGTCTGTCCTGGGAGGTCCCGAGAGTGGGACAGTTTTCCCACCACCTGAGCGGGGGCTGCTGTTTGAAATGGGTGGGGGTCAGGTCCTCGGGTGCCCATCGCTCTGTGCCCATCTCTCCTGTAGCGTCTGGTCCCAGCCCCTCCCGTGCAGCCTCGCTGCCCTCCCTTCATTGCAGAACCAGCGTTTTCAGACCGGGTGGCCCCTTCGTTGGTCAGAGGATCCAGCCTCTGCCACCGACACTGACATCCCTGACAGCCGGACCTCCAGTCCCCGACAAGCCCGCCACCTCCGGGGACAGCCATTGCGCTGCTGGCAGTGCTCTCCAGCCTGTCCTCCGGCCCTGCCAGGCTGGCCTCCCTCGCGGGGACACCCAGCCCTGCCTTCACCTGTGAGCATCCCCTCTGCTCCAGGTGCCCCTGCTGTCTCCCCTGTGGACAGTGACACCCCAAAAACAGGGCTGTATTGTGTCTTTCCCTAGGTTGGAGCCTGGCAAATAATCAGTGCCTAATAATTGCTAAGGGAGTGACGTCTTTCATTATTAGAGTGGATTTTCCTTTTTCTGCGAGCCATCTGCCCCGTACTTTCCATGCACTGCCCCTGGCTGTGCCCTTGGAGGCCGTGTCTTCCCAAACGAGCGCAAGACTGGTCTCCTGACCGTGACCTACCCCACTGGGCCCCTGCCCCTCCCTCTACACACTTCTGTCTTTACTGCCAACGGGTGGTGCACTGGTCATCCATGTTCCCCTCTTCCGGAACATCCTTCCTGACAAGTCACTGGGGTGCTTCCCAAATGTCGGTGTGGCTGTGGGATGGACACTTTCTGGTGCCCGTACTTCCCTGTCCTCCCTCAGTCTCAAAGCCCGGACACACAGGACTCAGGAGGACTGCGTAGACCCTTCACTGGCCACGCCTCTTCCTCTTCCTTCATCTCCCTCCTAGGTGTTTATTGAGCACCTGCTCCTGCTCTGTAACGTCCCGGCGTGGGTCCTGGAGACAGAGCCAATGTCAGTACCTCTCCCCTTCAAGTTTAGCACCCCGCTGTTCTCTGGGGACTCTGCTCTCACCTACTACCCACATACCTATGGAGAGACGCCTGGTGGGGGCTCTGAGGACGCCGGCTCTAGAGTCCTGGTTTAGCTGCGTCTGGCTGCGTGGCCCAGGCGAGCCACCTGCCTTCTCTCAGCCTGAGGATCCGGCTCTCCCAAGTGGATATTTTGTAGTAAACAGTCTCTAAGGTTTCTTCTGCTTGTTCAAGGCTCAGTGAGCTTCCCTGGTGTATGCAGCGGAGCACTGCCTGGTTTACACACACATCTCCTCGGCAAACGGGAAACAAAGACGTGGTGCAGAGAGGTGACACCCAAGATCAGCAGGGGGGCTGCTTAGTGTAAGAGGAAGGCCATGGGCCGGGTCTGGAAACGGGGGAGTAGATAGGGCAGGGGCCAGCGGGAGGCACACCAGGTGGGAAGAAATAAGACACACTAAACTGAGTCGGGCACCCGGTTCCGATTCCGGCTCTGCGGGTATTGCCGGGACCACTGGGGGAAGCCCCTTTTCATCATCACAGGGAGGTCTCAACCCAGGGGGCTTGACATTCCACCCAGCACGAATGTTCTGTGACCCTTAAGTGGTCAAACCGTCTGTCGCCTCCACCCAGGAGGAGCTGACGAATGGGGGCGACCGTGAACTTGGAGCCAGTGATGGACGCTGCAGCAAGGGCAAAGAGAACCAGTCACAGATGCACCTGCCACGCAAGCGTGGGCCCACGACCGCCACCTCCAAGACGCACTGAGCCTTTGCCAAATCTACACATCAGATGACAACTTGATTCTCACACTTGGATCCCTGTAAGCGAGTTGGCACCGGATGTCTGAGCCACAGTCCCTAAATCTGTCCCTCACCATTGACGGAAGGAGTCTGTGCTCTATTAAAAGCACTCTTCAAACACCAGAGAATGCTAAATGTGTTTAAAGTATAAAAAATCAACCAGAAAATGCATTTTTCTTCTCTTTACAGTTGTCATCTTTGCATATCTCCATGGCGTTGGGCACCAGCTGGGAACAGAAGTCCTAAAATACCCGAGCGAGGCCATCTCTACAGAAGGAAGGACTGAACGGAGTCAACAATACTCTGTCTCCAATTTATGCATCCTCAAAAAACTTTTAAGTGGATTGGTCGAATTCTTGTTTTCCTACTGTTCCCGTCTCTCAGTTCTCCCCTTTTATGCTCCATGGGACATGTGATTTCCAGAAAAAACAAACCCCAAATACAATTGGTAGCTAGGAACCCGGCTTGCTGCTCAAGAGCGACTGGCTGTTTGGACCTCCGTGTCCACTTAGGCTGTTCCCTCTGCCTGGATGCCTGTATCGCCCATCCTCAACGTGGATGACGCTGATTTAGGCTTTAATCCAAGCGCCCGATGTCCCTCTCACTCCCACCGCCGCCAGGACTGCTACTGTGCCTCTCATACCCCAGACCCGGTGACCATCTGCTCCTTGAGGCTGGGCTGTGTCTCTTCCTTGGTGACAAGAAGTTAGCTCCTCAGAGGTGGTCGGTCAGTGAAGCATTAATGACTGGAAGGTTCCCACTGTCTGCTGCCTTTAGCGGCACGTGGTCACCTCCATAGGCACTTGCTCTGCAAGCACATCATTTGTTACTTGCCACACAGGCCCTCTCTGGCCCGGCCGTGTTGCTCAGAGGCCCTGACCTACACACCAAGCGCTGTCTTCTCCAACTTCGGTGGGCCATTTTGCCTCATGGAAAGCCTTCCCTGCTATTTTTTCTTTAAGAATTCTTTCTTTCTTCCTTCCTTCCTTCCTTTCTTTCTTTCTTTCTTTCTTTCTTTCTTTCTTTCTTTCTTTCTTTCTTTCCTTTCTTTCTTCCTTTCCTTTCCTTTCCTTTCCTTTCCT